TGCAGCTGTAGATCCTGGCACTGCAGCTGTAGAGGCTGGCACTGCAGCTGTAGATCCTGGCACTGCAGCTGTAGAGCCTGGCATTGCAGCTGTAGATCCTGGCACTGCAGCTGTAGATCCTGGCATTGCAGCTGTAGAGGCTGGCCCTGCAGCTGTAGAGGCTGGCCCTGCAGCTGTAGATCCTGGCACTGCAGCTGTAGATCCTGGCTTTCCCTCCGTAGAGCCTGGCACTGCAGCTGTAGAGGCTGGCATTGCAGCTGTAGAGCCTGACTTTCCCTCCATACAATGTTAAGTTTGTCACAAGTTTTTGATCTAGTCATAATCATAATCTAGTCGATTAAAAGGTCTATTAGTCACAGTCACTTTCTAGTTACCCACAGTTCTTTTTTTCAAAGCTGCTTTTAAAAAAAACGTTTTGAAGCAGTATTATAAATGTATTCAGTAGAGGCCCTCGCCAATGCTATAGTTACTGAATTTGCAATAACGAATTTGAAACCAGACAGGGCAAGCAATATATAAATTCATGAACTCATTGGTAAAATATTAATAACTAGCTCTTTCTATGCCATATTACCTCAGTCGAAAAACTACCATAGTCTGAGAGCAGTGTAAGTGCTCATGACATTGTGCTGGAATCACTCTAACAAAGAGACGGACCTGTGCTTTCACTCCACACACATTCTACTGAAAAAATATGACCTAGTGACCGCCTGTGCCATAAGATGTTAGTGCTACAATATTTTATCGGTTAGCTAAATACCCAGCAACATTCACAAGGTAAATACAATTAAGCGTACAGTACACAAAAAGCATTTTGCAGACTCACTTTAACATTTTTCCAAGTAAACTACGAGCAAAAGGAAACATTTTATTCACATTGTGAAGTCGAAAATTACTGAGCGCATAGCTTGTCTGACTGACTCTCACAGTTTCAAAGGATGTCTTTCGTCGAACAAGCTCATCTTTAGCCAAGACATGTGGAAAAGATCGTCTAGAAATGAGGGGACGAAAGAGAAGAGGAGAGAAAACGGCACACCCTCATACTTGCACTTTTCACACAGTAGCAGCCCTGAAGCACATCCGACAGCAGTCCTGAGCTCAAACCCGTTCCAGCCAGCCTGCTATTCGCCAGACAGAAATGTGTAAACGGTGAATCTCATGTGACGCTGTTTATTTCAGTCCCGAGTTTTAGTCAAGTCGGTTATTTCCTCTCATCTCACTTCGCTCAAAAATGCAAAGGCATTTCGACATTGTGGATCATTTTCCTGAGCGTTCCGACATCGGTCACCAAAACGAAGAAGAGGTCGTGGCCGAAACATTTTTGGCATCGTTTTCGGTGCCGAAATGATCACTGCCTCCGTAGAGCCCCGCATTTCCTCCATAGAACTTGGACTTGATCTGCACAGGCAAGAAAGCAACCATGTGCTCCCCTTGACAAAAAGTCTTGCCCTAGACAAGCTTGCCATCTTGTTCGTTTTGAGGCCGTCTCCCTGAGCACGGCTCACCTGGCCCGCTCGATGCCTGCTCTCCTGCAGGAAAGACTCACCTCCCGTTGACTCTGTGCATTCTTGCAGACAGTTGTGTAACTGCACAAGCTGGTGTATTCGTTCCAGCTTGTCAGGACGTTAATTCTTGCCAATGTTTTTTTTTTAAATTAGCTGTTTCTTTTTTTTTTTTTGTCTCCCGTTTGGATCTGTACCAGAAACTAACTACTGAAAAGACTCGCTGGATTCCTGGTGCACTGCTCATCTGCCCCCCCCACAGTAAAAAAACACGATACGTGCAGAAAATTATACTGATCTCCCCCATTATTGGACATGATTGTGATGATTGAGTTAGGCTTCAATTAGGGCTAGATTCAGAGTTAGGATTGGGCCTAGCAGTAGGGTCAAAGTTCAAGCTTTGTCTGCATTTTGGTCTATGTGTCTCATACAGTAATCATGCAGCACTATTAAAAATGAGTGTTTTATTATTTTAACAGAGACCTCAGCAGAAATCAGATCCGGTCCATTCACAAGGATGCATTTATGTCCCTGACATCGCTAACAAATCTGTGAGTAGAACTTGCACCGTAGCATGTCTTTGCTGGAAACCTATGTTCGTTTCTTTCAGGTGGAATTAGGAATAATAAATGGCTCAATGCCCACATACAAGAGGGAAAGATTGTGCAATCAAACCTTTTCTTTTACAAAATGTCTTTTTAGACGACAGCTGAGGTTCAATTCGGAGGCTCAACCTGTTTGTACATCTGAAATAAGCTTTAAAAGGAGTCCTGTGTGCTGCTTTGTATTTCAGGGACTTGAGTTCAAACGCACTGTTGACCCTGCCCACTTCAGGCCTGGGCGGGCTGAACCAGTTGAAGTTAGCCGGAAACATGGACATGAAGGGGTCTCTGTCAGCCAAGGACCTGCAGAAGCTCAGGTAGACAAACCGGGCTGCTCCTTCAAACCCCTGCCGTTTCTGAATGGTCAAAAAAGGATTCTTTTCAGTTGAGTTGTAGAGTTTTGAAGTTGAGAATAAGATAGCAAGAAGGTTTTATATGCCACACATTATGACTGAATTGTGGGTGTGGATAGGTTTATGGGAACTCTGAGAAACTCTGGAGAAGTGGTGGAGATAAATAGTCTATCCTAAGAACATTTTCCATAGTCAGATTTCCTAAGCAATAAAAGTCCCCTGTCACTTTTTCTGAGCAGTTTTAAAGTGCCACAGGATCTGCGCCTGTGGCCGGAAGGTTGCCAGTTCGTATCCTGCGGCTGGCAGAGGAATCCTACTCTGTTGGGCCCCTGAGCAAGGCCCTTAACCCCAGCTGCTCCAGGGGTGCTGTATAAATGGCTGACTCTGCGCTCTGAGCCCCAGCTTCTCTCCCTGTCTGTGTGTCTCATGGAGAGCAAGCTGGGGTCTGCGAAAAGATAAATTCCTAACACAAGAAATTTTATATGGCCAATAAAGTGATCTTATCTTATCTCTTTGTGTGTAAAATTTTGAGAAGCCAAGGTCTGAGCTGACCTGACAAAAGCTAGTTGTTTACACAAATCCAGCACTCAGACTGAAGCATCTGGGCCTGTGGCTGGTTTGCTTTGCTTTTCAGGGATAGTTTGTCTTTGAAAGCAGTGTTCCCCTGCATCAGCAAAGGGGGTGATGGATGAAGTAGGCAGGAACGAGAATGAACTTATGATACAAAACATCTGTGGAGCCTCTTGGATCCGGGGGCTTGCAGCTAGAAGATCTGAGTTTCTCTGCAGCGGGAGGGCGGACCAGAGCCATCTCCAAATCGAAAAAGAGGAATAAAACAAATGCTGGTTTTATTAGACAGCTGTGAGGAAACGGGGAACTTTGCGTGATCTGAATGATCTTCTAAATCGTCCTCATCCATTTCCATACTGGATGTGATCAGAAAAGGCGTTGTTTTGAACGTCTTGGCTTAATCTCCCTGATGCACCCCAGCCGTCATTCAACGAAGGAAATGGCTGTGGAACCGCAGCCTGGGGTCTCCGCTGGGAGGTGCCCAGTAAAAACCATTGAAACCCGGAATTGCAGGGAAAGAAAAAGCAGGCTGGACCGACCTGACACCACACCGGACAAGTGCGCTTGGTGCGGACGTGGCCCTTTTAGTTATCCGCACCACGTCGTAGGCCTTGGCGGGCGGGCGGAGGGAGCCCCAGTATCAAGGATAAAAAACACGAGGGCCCTCAATTTGCACATCTCATACCAGCCTGGGCTGAATGAGGTAAAAGAAGAAAAAAAAATGCAACTGCCCAAAACAAGAAGCTCTCTCCAGCAATTTGAGGTGGGTGGGGGGGTTACCTGGCGGTTCATTAATAATCCGTACCTCTGTACTGACGAGCGAGGCCGATTTTCGCAAGCGCCGCCAAAGGAACAGCGAGCGTTCTGCTTGAGCCCCGAGTCGGCATAGCAGAATCACGGGCAGGCGCTGTGCAGCAGATTCGGACCTCCCGAGCTGCAGTAACGGTGTGCTCTGGGCACTGCATTCTTGTTGCAGGACGCTGTCTGTGCCCTACGCCTACCAGTGCTGTGCTTTCGGCGGGTGCGACGCCTACCTGAACACAAACCCGGACCAGGGGAGCAAGAGCGATGGGAGTCGGAAGAAGAAAGGTGGGCTTTCTGGAAGCCGGGGGTGAACTGACTTGTATCGTGCAATAAACAAATCAATGAATATTATGTAATAATTGGATATCGCACTTGAAAGGCTCTATTTATAAGATAATGTACAGCCCAGGTGAAGAGGTTTAAAGATAGGCTTCAGGGACAGAACCTCTTTAGACATGAACAGAGAGGACGACAGGAGGACGTGACGTATCCAGAGTCCTCGAGATCAAGCCAGCGGACACACACCAGAGGACACAAGTGCAGACTATGGGGAAGTGCAGTTAAAACCGAGAGCAGGATTGCTGTGTGTGTAAATGCATCTCTTAATGGCAGTATCGCTCGCCAGGTTTCACACATCCTTCCTGAGCTATGTACCGGAAATCAGGCTTGCGGAGCTGGAGTGGTTCGAGCCCAGAGTCCAGTCACACATGCTACAGAGGGACTTCACCCATATTCAAGCTCACATTTCTTTGTCATTCCAGCATACAAGTATATGGTGGAACGAAATATCGTTCCTCCTGATCCATGGTGCAAATACATACAGGACACTGACATAGACATTGTAGACAGGATACACATAGTGCAAAGTGCAGATTACAAGGCAAATACATAAGACAACATACACAACACACTGGGGGGATTTAAACCCTGTTTCTGGAATTGGGGTGGGTGCAAGTAGATTCCAGGGTGTTGAGGAGCCTGACAGCCTGTGGGGAGAAGCTGTTCCAGAGTATGGTGGAGCTGACCCGTACACTGCGACCTCTTTTCCCAGATGGTAGGAGGACAAAGTTTTTTGGGAGGGATGGGAGGGGGGTTTTCGGACACCTTCGGCTAGGAAATTTCCAGACTGGCCCGTTTAAGAGTGCAGAATGATGGTACCGAGGGGGCGCTACCTCGGACACCCGCCCCGAGTGTTGGCAAGACTCAAGGAGTGGGGCTTGATGGTGTTGGGTTTGTGTTCAAGGTGAGGGCAGCGTCGCCGAAGATGAGGGCGAGAGAATCCAGCTGGCTGTGCACTGTTCTCCCCCGACAGGTAAGGAGCGCCAGAAGCCACACTGTGAGGTCAGGCAGGGAAAAAAAAATCCTTCTGGGACCTCTTAACTTGCAGCTGGGCTTTTTTCACAATTTGTCCAAATATAATTGCTAAATGGCAAAGAAAGACGAGCAGTTGTAGGAATATAATGAATTACTTAGGAATCAGTATAAAATCGGATTAATTTCTATACACGTAGTTCTGTATTACAGAGCGTGGCACAACAGTTCAGTCCTGGAAAATTCGAGAACATTTTTTAATATAAGAAACTCTGTTTTTGAACGTGACAGTTCAAAAACTGTCTCTGATGATGAAGACCCATGCATTAATCGCAAAAGTCGCAACAGAGGTTTCTAAGGTTGTCAGCTGTCCTTTCGGTCTTGTCTTTCAGAAATATCAGCCATGCAGAGCGACTCCCCTCTTCCCTCCCCGTCTCTCAGTGTGTCTCTCTTTCGCCGTCTCTCTGTAGGTGCCTTCAAGCCCTGTGAGCACCTGTTAGGCAGCTGGATGATCCGCCTGACCGTGTGGTTCATCTGCCTGGTGGCGCTCCTCTTCAACCTCCTGGTCCTGGTCACGACGTTCTCGTCCAGCGCGGCAGTGTCCCCTGCCAAACTCCTCGTGGGCCTCATTGCTGCCTCCAACCTGCTCATGGGCGTCTACACGGGCATGCTCAGCGTGCTGGACGCCGCGTCCTGGGGCCACTTCGCCGATTTCGGGGTGTGGTGGGAGACGGGAGCCGGCTGTCGAGTCACCGGCTTCCTGGCCATCTTCTCCTCGGAGGCCTCCATCCTCTTCCTCACTCTGGCGGCCGTCGAGCGGAGCGTCACCATGCGGGACCTGGCGAAGAAGGGGAAGAGCCGGCGGCACAGGCAGTTCCGGGCGGCCGCCGGGATGCTGGGGGTCTCCGCCACCGTGGCGGCCTGCTTGCCCCTCTTCCACGTGGGCGACTTCTCCTCCTCGCCCCTCTGCCTGCCGTTCCCCACCGGGGAGGCGCCGTCGCTGGGCTTCACCGTGACTCTGGTCCTCCTGAACTCCACGGCCTACCTGCTGATGGCCGTGGTCTACACCAAGCTGTACTGCGGCCTGGAGAAGACGGACCTCCTGGAGTCGTCGCCTCAGGCCAGCATGGTGAAGCACGTGGCCTGGCTGATCTTCACCAACTGCATCTTCTTCTGCCCCGTGGCCTTCTTCTCCTTCGCCCCCCTCATCACCGCGATCTCCATCAGCCCCGAGATCATGAAGTCTGTCACGCTCATCTTCCTCCCCCTGCCGGCCTGCCTCAACCCCGTGCTCTACGCCTTCTTCAACCCCCAGTTCAAGGAGGACTGGAGGCAGATCCGGCTCTGCGGGCGGTGGCGGGAAGCCAAACCCAATGCCGGTACCGCCGCCGCCGTCGCCGCGGGGTCGGCCGCCGCCGGGCTGCAAACCGGCCACATCTCCCCAGATTTCTATTACGACTGCGGCGTCTACTCCCCGCTGCAGGACAATCTCGCGGTGTGCGACTGCTGTGAGTCCCTCCTGCTCGCCAAGCCGGTGGCCTGCAAACATTTGGTGAAGGCCCACAGCTGCCCGGCTCTGGCGGTGGTGCCCTGCCAGAGATCGGACGGGTACTGGTCGGACTGCGGCACTCCCTCAGCCCAGTCGGAATACGCCGACGAGGGAGACTCGTTCGTGTCCGACAGCTCCGATCAGGTTCAGGCCTGCGGACGGGCCTGCTTTTACCAGAGCCGCGGTTTCCCGCTCGTCCACTATTCCTACAATATTCCCCGGATTAAAGACTAGCAGGGACCCGGCTCAGTGCGAGACTCGCGGGACGCCTTTTCCGGGTTTTTTTGTTTTGTTCTTCGGCGGACGGAAAGCATGAGACACTACGAGAGGTGTACAGGATCTCCGTACACAACCATTCAGGAAGCACTTTTGGAATAATCACTGTGTGACTTGCCTCATAAGAAGGGAATTCGGACAATGCGCTTCATCCTTTTGAGCCAGGAATCTTTGGTCGAAAAATTTTAAGTTGGTGTTTTCTTGCGTCGTGTAGATCACGCCAAGCTTGTTTTACAATAATCTTGGGGGGGAAAAAATATCTCGGCCACAGCTATCTTTGTTTTGCTTTGCTGGTTTAGGGGGATCTCCTATTCTTTGAAGTGATGCAATTGCTTTATCGAATGTTTTTCGTTTCATACAGCAGCTTTTCTCTGACCGAGATTGTGTTCACACCACCTTTCATTTCGAGAGATGGGTACCTGCTTTTCCCTGTTTCATCTGCTCTGAATGCTTTGAATGTAAGAATATTGTGCGAGTCAACATTACCTGCAAATTGCCCATTTTGTTTAAGGTAGCTGACAGGATTGTTCTGTGTTCTGTGTTGAGAATATAATAAAAGAAAAGTTACAGTTCATACCAAGGGAAATAAGAAACTATGACCATGGCCTAAATTCACAGGTGTCTTTTGCCTCTAAAAGTAAGAGAGAAAAACTATTATGTTTATATGAGAATGAGACAATTTCCTTAGAGGAAAGCACTGGGTGTTTGGTGTCACAACCTGTTTGATGATTCTTTTTGTTCAAAACGATTAAACCAAAACTACATTTTTAGTGACAGAATTGTATATATATTAGTGATCTTTCAGGGTTCGCCATGAAAAACTTAATTTTCTAACTTCTTCAACCCAGGAAGGTAAACTTGAACGCCACCATGCACCTGCGTGGATCACTCTTGGCAAAAATTGTACACCATCAGCTGTAAAGACTTTTGTGTTGATCGACAATCATTTTTCTTCTTGGTGTTGCTTTTAAGGCAAGAGGGTTTATGGAATAAGATTCATCTTTCAGGTCACAGTACTATGTTCCATGGGCTTAGGGGTGCAATCCCTACTAAATATGGCTCATCATATCCCTGAAATAATTTCTCAGTATAACCTGCGTTTTCTGTATTAGTATTGAATATGCAATTACTGTTAAAAACAAATAGCAAAACCACAGGCTTGTATTTTCATGCTTGGGCTTATGCCTTTCTGTGCTAAATGAGTCTTCTCTGTGCCAAAACTAATGTGATGTGGACATTAGTTCCGACACCTTTAGTTGCAAAATAGGATCAATGGCAAACTGTGGAGCACTGATAAATCATGTGTATATGTGTGTTCTGGGTTTATATAGACATTTAACACAAAACTGCAGGTCAGCTATAATTTAAACATTCAAAATCTAGTGTGCTTTCAACTTAAGTGACATAAATATAGGATTTTAAGAAGAGTTGCAAATGATTTCATAATTTTAATACCATGAGATAGCCCACAGTTACCCCAAAATATTATTGAAATGTTCACTGGTACACGTTTGTAAGCTCTGTAACTTTGTACTTGCTGATGTATACAAACCGTGAAATTTTACAGTACTTTACTCATTTTAATGGTGTGTGTAAAAATCAAATTAGAAAGTAACTTCAATCCGCAAGTGGAGGGCATTTATTTTTTTGGGGAAAGTTGTCAGTCACTACATGAGCCTGTTAGCAGTGAAGAATTCAGCATCAGAGCTATTATAGGAAAGTTTATTTTTTTTAACATAGGGATGCTTTTAAGGATTTTATTTCAGGTTCTGAGTCCACTATATGACCCCCAGGTTGTGTCAGTGTCTCTCATATTCAGTATTGAAGCTTTTAAATCCTTATTTTTTTGTCTGTTATGCTTCAGTCCTCTGATGCCCAGCTTTGATACATTGGGTGAAACCATTGAGTTCTGTGTTTTTTTTTTTTTCGGGAAGACCAGATTCACTTGCAAACAATTTTGTGTGACGTGAGTTGTAACCATACCCCCTGCTTATATAGCAGATTCTTAGTCTTTACCCTGTCGTTTTCATCTTGCTACCTGTACGTATGGGTTGTGTCTTTAAAGCTGTGGTATGTTTTGGTTTTCATTCTCCTACTCCACAGGATCCTTCTTGCACTGCTTTATGTAGATACGTGCCTCCTCTCAGAAGCAATCCCCTTCTGCAACCTATTGCCCAGGGGATGAGGTCGTTGGTACATGCAACCCAGTGGAATTTACGGTCGTCAGTAAGTGACATTGACCCACAGTTCCCAAGGATGGTAATGGTACAGTGATGTTTTGTGCCAAATTGCTCCCACCACACCATCCTTAGGGCAATACTTTCACACCGTTATCACCTTGTCACTCTTAACTTTCCTTAGGGAAAAAACAAATGGCAGATGAATATTGGAAACGTAGTGGCTTCACGTCCAAATTAAACTCACTGTTTTCTACAGCACAGGCTGTGGTGTGAACTGTATATCAATGCGTGTAATTTTAAGTCCTGAATTGTCTTCCCTACGTGTGTGTGTCTGTGCGTGCGTGTTGTAAATTATTTGATAGACAATAAATAAATAATGGGATACATTGTACAACAATGGAAGCTACCTCCTGAATTGTAGTGGCTGCCAGTAGTAAGATGTGATAAATTGTTTTATATATATATATGAATGCTTTCTGTTGCTTTGTAAATAAATCTGGTTGTACATTGTCAATGAATAAAATTCTGATTGTTGTATATGTAAAAAAAAACTAGTTTATACTAATAGTGGGAGGGAATTATGTACTGTATACTGTAATTTTTGTAAACCAAACCATTCATATAAAAGAATAATTGCTTTAAAGTCCTGTGTGTTTTCACTGCATTTTTATTTTTGTTCTGCATTATTTTTATTTATTTTTTTTTAGGCTGAGGTGAAGATTACAAATAATGATATTTTCTGCATGTACCTCTCAAAATGAGATATGCGTCTCATTTTCATAGTACCTTGGAAAGTGGTAGAAGTTCAAATTAATTCACGTGAACAAAAATATACGCCCAAAACATGCCTTCAAACCACAAAACAGAATTTGAACATGCCAGTGACTTATGAAAAACACACACAAAAAACCCATCATGTGCATGATTTAAGTACAGGGCAGCAGTCATACTAGTGCGATAGTTTGTGTGGACAATTGACTACACTGATCACAAAGCAGTTGTTTCCTACCCTGTATAGGTGTCCAGCTGAGTTCTACATCTTAGTTCTGCTAATTGAGGACTTGACTAACCTGCTCGCTTGTTAAGACAATTGTTTGCTTGTTTGGTTATCTTATTTCTGCACTGAGTCTTAGGTGCTCCCTGACCCTTCTAACTAGAAAGGTTTTGATAGATGAGCAATTTATGACAAACAAGCACGGGTGGGAATGGCCATGTATCAGAAACACCCACAGAATGTTTTTGTCCTTCTGCAGAGATCTCGTTGGTTACAGGAAACGCTGCTGAATAGATAGATAAGACTTTATTGATCCCGAAGTGAAATTGATGAATGATGGTATTCATGAAGAGGAAAAAAATATATACAGTAGGGTTCATAGGATATATTCCTTATAGTGTTGAGCCCAGTTATCCCATTTGACTTTTTAAGAGCTGAAACGTGATTTTGAGGTATGTCCCTAATTAAAAACTGATCTGTATTGGCTTGTTTCTAAGATCTCGGAGCGAGCAAAACCCAGCAGATAGAGTGAAGCACAAAGCCATTTTCAGCGTTTTTTCTGAAATTTACTCGCTGTGAGTGACGGAGTACAAAGTTGTTAAAAAAAAGAACTTATTTGTAGTGGTATACATAAACTTTCTCTTCGTGCTGCCTCATTAACTTACTTTAAACGTTATTTTTAAAACGATGTTTCTAAGCCAAGAGGTAAGAGGTAAGTTAAAGAACCAGAGTCTTTCTCCTGATAAATATGGTGGTAAACAGTCCGTTGCCCTTGAGACAGCAATCCTGTCTCTGTACTCTGCCAGATGTAGTTTTCTGTAATTGCACCAGGGCGTTGAAATTCCTCCGACGACTCTGTCAGTCTATAACAGAACAGCTGCACGAAAAAATAAACAGAACTAAAGGGACAAATGGACGCATTATGACATGGTGAGAATGATCTGATTTGCCTTTGCGGAAATATCAGCTTTTATTCACATGATTATGTCGGTTGAAGTCAACAGGACAGTTGTAGAGCAGTCATGTAATACATGTAATACAAGTCGCTTTTGTGTTGATCAAATGTTGTTGCAGCCTGTATTAAAATATGTTTCTTTTTTAACGTTTTACACGTTTACGTTTATAAATGTCCAGCCAACTCCCTAAATACTAACCTTAACGTTGTACCGTGTTTGTTACGCAAGCTAACGAACGTGCTTATTGCTTCGGTAAACGTTGATAAACCTGAATTTTTCTCTCGGTATTTTGTACATAATGTCTATTATGCTTTTTGGATATTTGGGGATTTTAACAGTAGCATTAAAATAATATTTTTACGAAGCTAATTTATTTATTTTTTATATAAAGCCATGTTAGTTTACTTATTGTAATACAACGGGACAGAAACAACACTCCCAAAACCAAAGCTTAGCGTTAAGCGCTGCTATGGTAACGACAGCACTGAGGACGCATTTAATTGGTTGGCAGGTAGCAACGGCATACAGAGCGTGGTGTCTGACGGGAAGGCATCAAGCGAGCAGACATTTTTAAACCGCTTATTGCGAGAGTGGGCTGGGTAGGTAGTGAGCTGTTTTTCCTTTTTTTTGTTTCCGTAATGTGAATAAAATGCGCCAGTTTTAAACGATAAAATATTAAAGATCACCTAAGTGCATATTCCTTAATGACTGTTCTGGTGAACTTACTTGCTGTAATTAGAATATAGCGGCAACCTTAGAAAGTAAGAGTTTGTTTTGTTTATAAGTGAGTCTAGTAAAACACTTCTTTTGCTATGCAAAATGCTATTAATTGTCCGAAGCGGTTTAATTGTTAATGGTTATAGGAAAAATAGCGAGCTAGAGCATTACATTTTTGTTGCTTCTTGAATTAGGGTTTTATCTACATAGGAAGTGCGGTTTAAAATGCAGCTCAGATTGTGTTCATAGTGCGCGGTGAGCTGTCTCTCTATACTTTGCTGATGTCACAATCATTACATTTTTTACTGTCATTATTTCATGCTCTTGCTGGGCGAAGCGTATGCTAATCCCAGCGGATTGAAGTGTAGGATAAGTTGTTAGTATATGGTTTACTGCAGTGGCTGGCTGTCTGCCCTGGACCTGGAGGAGAACTGTTAATTTTCCTTCCAATTGAGCTGTCCATCTCCAGTGTGCATCTTAACTGATCTGCTGGCTCATTTCGATTTCTATTTAACTTGATCCTTAGGCATTCCTGAGTGTCAAAATCTTCAAGTGTACTATTTCCAGCAACTTCAGCCCACAACGTTACACACTGCCTCTCCTTAACTTGCTGATGTCGTTTCTTATTATTTCTGAGTAAACGGCTCTAGGTAGTTAAGGGACTGATGATGAACAGAGACAGGTGGCAATGACAGAGTATTAGATGGGCCCACATGTAGTCCTTTTTCAGGCATCATTCCTAAATAAAGGCAGTTCAGAAAGTCAGGAATTTGTTTAGGGTTGATGACAGTTACATAGCCCATTTGACCTTTTAACCAGTAGTTTCCAATAGAAAACTGTTGTACAGTGTTTACTCAGTGCTGCAAAGGAACAAGTAAAATTGTATCCCATGCTGAAGAGAAAAGAGACACAATGTTATGGCGGTGGTGCCTTCTTCAGCTGTGACACCCGATACCTGAAGAAGGCACCACAGCCAAAACGTTCTCTTTTCTTTTCAGCATGGGATACAATTTTACGGGCTTACATATGCTCCACACAGCTACCTATTTGAACTGTTTACTCAGTGCTGTTGCATTAATGAATGTCTGTGTGTTTATGTGCATAAGTGCTTATTTTTTTTATTTTTATTTTTGTCCCCCCGCCCCCCAGGGATCACAATGTCGGGGACGCCTACCCGTCACGTGCCCTGCCAAAAGTCCAGTTCCACCCCTTGCGGAGCCCCGGAGGGCAGGCAGTCGGGGGTGAGGGGCTGCGATCTGGACTCCACAGGCGACTCGACGTACTCGCTGCTGTCCCCGATCTACCACGACAGCTTCGAAAGCGCGTCTGAAGATCAGGAGGAGCCTCGGCCACAGCCCGACCCCCCTCCTTCACACAGCTGCGACATAAAGCCCAGCGACGGGTACAGGCTGCGATTATTTTTAAAGTCGGGGGCTTCCTCATGTCTTCAAAGACTTGGGCATTCAAGGTTACAAATCATAAAAGATGGGGATGACCACGTCTGCACTGTATTCTGTAATTTGTAATGTTTTAGTGCTTTTTCTGGTTTACCGCAGGCGTTGAAGCTAATTTTTCTAAAGTCGTTTAAAGGGGCGGAGTGGTGGCTCTGTGGTTAAGGATCTGCGCCTGTGGCTGGAAGGTTGCCGGTTCAAATCCCGCAGCCGGCAGAGGAATCCTACTCTGTTGGGCCCCTGAGCAAGGCCCTTCACCCCAACTGCTCCAGGGGCGCTGCTGTACAATGGCTGACCCTGTGCTCTGACCCCCAGCTTCTCTCCCTGTCTGTGTGTCTCATGGAGAGCAAGCTGGTCTCCATGTGAAAAGATAATTCCTAATGCAAGAAATTGTAAAGGGTTAATAAACTAATGTTAAAAAAAAAAAGAAGTACAAGAAGAAAGCTACATGTCTGGTAGCCCTGCCCCAGTACTTGCATAATGGTGTGAATGCTGTACTGTACATTGGCCCTTTGTGATATTAATGAATCGCTGTTTTATGTAAAACGCAATTTAATAATTTTATGAAGGATTTTTTTTTTTTTAATCGAGGTGAAATCTAAATCATATTGTAGTATTTGTAATCTTTGAACCACAGTACTAAGAAGCATAAAGCTAAGACACTCATCCGCATGGAACTGGAAAGATCTCCCTCTGTAGAGTTTGATCTGACTGCCTGGGAAGAATGGATTGTTCGAAAAGCCAGAGAGGAGCGCACTGAAATGCAGAAGAGAGCTTTGAAGGTATTTTAAAACAGAATTTTTTACTTTATAACGTAAAAGTATGTTTCCTTAGCCTGCTTCATTCTCATAAGGATTTTTTTTTTTAATATCTTGCCTCATGACAGGAGATGGCTCTAAAGGAAGAAAAAATGGAAAAAGAGAAGGACCTGGAAAGAAAGAAGATCGCTGCTGAGGAAAAGCTGCGTGACTGGCTTCAGGTGAAGAAACAGCAGGTACAAACATTTTGCTAGACAAGCTTGATTTTTTTCAAGTTAAATTCCATTGCAAAGTCTTTGTGGAGAGCAGTCTGCAATCATGTAAAAGTTCCTAAGCAGCAGAGCTAACCAGGTAGTTAATGATTCACTGAGCAATTTGGGAACTATCTGAGGTGATGTTCTATGGCACAGGCTGGCTGTGCCAAGGTAACTTAACCATGCAATAATGGACCAGGAATTATCACACTGGGAGACTTTTTAATGGAAATTACTAAGTCATTCTGCATTTTGATCAATTTGTTTGACTGATGGTAAAAATGACTGATTCAGGAGTCAGACTTACTGAAGGGATTCTTGGCTACCTGTTAAAGGTTCCACATTTCTGAAGATAAGTTAATCACTTTAAATATGCTACGAATTGTGAGTGAGTCCATGGCTTATATTTACTAGATAAGTAATTTCCTAATTACTGGTAGTTTGACTTCTAGCTTCAAAATCACAGACTTTATAAGCATAATTTTCATATCCTCCTTGAGCCTGTAATTCAGTCAGATGACAAAACCTAATGACTTATGCAGTTGCATTATGCACACTTTTTAGTTTTCACTTATTAGTACTGTATAACATCATACAAATATTTTTTAATGTACTTAACGTATTTTACAACAACAATCTCCACTCCCTTCCTGTATACACAATAGTTCTGTTGAATAGTCATCAATACTCCTTGTTACTGTATATCCAAACATTTCCACAAAGTGCTAAATTAATCATAGTTTTTTTTTTCTCTCTTACATCTTGTAATGTGAGATGCATGTGATCTTAACGGATTAATATAAATGTTAAAATAACTTCTGTTGAGCTTGGCAGAGCATTGAGACCTAATTGGAAAAATCATATTCAAAGGATATGAAATGCATGTTTAAACATGGAGGCAGTACAGCTGAGCAGGTGCTACCATTTCCTTAATTAGAGCTTTCCAGAAAACAACACTAATTTACGACAGTGCCAAATACAAGTGTACTTTCAGATAAGCCTTCACTTAACAGAAAGATTTTCCAGATCTCCAGAACCGGTCGTGTCAAAAACACCAGTGACAGGGTGATGTTTTCTTTGCTCACACAGAGTGCTTGATGTGGCTCTAAAAGGTTGATTTTTCAATGTGAATTTCATGTGCTTTTAATGGTTTTTCATTCCGTGTGTTTGGTTGCTATGTTTTAGGTCTCTGTCAACATAGTCCTAGGTTTGGAAGTGCCCCAACACTTGATGATGATAGAGATAAATGTATTAATTCCCAGTGAGGCTAAGAGAACAATTTTAGCTGCAGAAATGGGTAATTCGTCTAAGCCCTTTCTGATACAGCCAGGAAAAAAAAAACACATTGGAAGAACATTGCTTATAAATCTTTAGTTAAAGGGTTATAAATCCTTTAGTTAAAGGGTCCATTTTAATCATGAAAAAAGTCTTTAAAATTTTTTTTTTTTACTGGTACTTTTCCATGCCAATTTAGGACTGATTTTATTTCAGGTAAAAAAAAAAGTATTTTCAGGTTATGGTAGTAAAGAAAATTAAAAGACTTTATTGAAAGTCTCCATACTGTTAATACATCATGGTAAATTACTCTATTATGAGCAGAAAATAAGTACAACTTGGGAGGTTTCTGCTTTTTTAATGTTCTTTTGGGTTTAATAATTCCCTCGTCAAAAAGTGTGGAAAAAATGATTGCTACTTAATTAAAAACATAAAACAATAATAACAGTGATCTAGTGATGGACCGAAACCTCCGCTTTCATGGGCGTAGAGCCAAAGTATTGTTAAAACACTTATGTGGCTCCTGGAGAATGGATGGCATTTTGAAAAGCTGTAATTAATATGTCGAAATGGGTAACTGTCCTTGGGCAAAGTTGCATGTAAATCTTTGTAATCAGACAGTGGCAGATCAGAATAATAAAAAGAGTTGTGGGTTTGCAAAAAAAAGCCCAGTGAAAATGTGAAATTCAGTTACTCTCAGTCTTTGTTTCAGAAGCCTCTGCATGATTTATTTCTTCTTTTTAAGTATGCTGTAATTTAATTCTGCAAAGTAATTAAGCCTCCGGCGTATTCAAAGGCATGCAACATGGTGTTTATGATCGCATTAATTTTTCTTACAATGCCAAAGCAAAACGTATAGCCATTATATTTCAGCATGGAGGTTTCATCTGAGAGGGACTTTTTATCCACAGTTCTTTTATCCATGATGCATTTTAAGAAAACATTCAGTACCAACTTAAGGCTTTGCCCTTAAATAGTCTATGATGAAGCGTTAGGTCTTGAATGCAGAAAGTTAGGGTGCAAAAGTGGATCCTAATGAAGGGTTCTTAATGTGAGTTACTGGAAAGATGAACTGTCAGTATGGAAATGAAAAAAATATTAAATTACTTTTGCAGTCAACTTGAAACACTTTGAATCTTGATGGGTAGGGTTGCAACTTGTCAAGTGTAATCATATAACACATTATCTCATCTGATCTGAAGAGTTAAGTGAGGTTATATTTGGCTGGTTTAATGCTTAAATTGAGGCTGTCCAAAAGGATTCAGGTGACGTTAGTGACTCACAAGACGGCAGGTTTTCATATCCCCCCAAAACAAATTGGAGAGAAGAACTTGAAACGATGAAAATTGGAGGAGAGAAAAAAGCTTCACATGTAGAGCCTTGACACATACTTGAAGAGGTGTATTCCTCTTGGCATGGTGTGAACCTCTGCTTGCTCACCTGAAGAGTTACTACCTGTCAGAAGAGATGTTAATGCCAGTGGATTTGGCAGGTGCTTTGATCTTTCTCGTTTGTTCTGTACGTTTTGTTGGACTGGTGTGGGTAAAATGCTTCACTGAAGTGACCCTCCATAAGGGGGGTCTAGCGCCACCCCATAATATTGCCTGCTGCTGATTAAAGGGGAAATACAATGCTATTATTATATTTCGGGGTTAGAAGGAATCGGCATTGATAACCTCATTTCAAACCACAATAAAAGTAGAATATACGTAGCACTTTGTAAAACCAGTGTAGATCCCAAAATAATGAAATCTCTACATGTGCACAGCACCATATTCTGTGATTCAGAACGAGGCAGCAAAACTTCCAGTGACGTGAAGCGAACCTATTACGCTGTAAAGAAGCAGGCTTGTGAATCCAATCCCATCTCTTAATCCAATAGAAACATTGTTCTCGATTTTCCCCTTTCAGTCACTGTGTTGCATTGTAATCGCTGGTTCGAAAACCCCGCTAGATGTGGTGAAGAGCAAGATGTCAGCCGTAGGGAAAAGGTCAGGACGTGTCTGGGTAATGGCATTTTATTCTCAGTGTTACTTGTTGTGTTTAAGGAAAAGTTAGAAAATGAAATGAAGAGAAGCAAAGAGCTGGAAGAGATGGAGAGTAAGGAGCAGAAGAGGAGGGAAACCGAGGAAAAGGCACAGCAGCAATATAAAGAGTGGCTCAAGAAGAAGAAGCAGGAAGAGATGGAAAAAAAGCAAAAGGAAAAGGTGAGGAAAGTTCTTTGCACTTCTTTCTGGCAGACCAGTTTTTTTCTTGCGTTTTAACAGGCCTCTGGTGTAGATCATATCTTAAGCCCCTTAATGACAAGTGTAGTTGGGGAAACTTTCACTTGGCCCTGATTGATTGGGCTTAAAGCCCACTGTAGATAGGTGCTAAAGAGTGGTAGAAAATAAGTTTAATTAAAGGATACAACTGTAAGTGACATTCATCCTTAGCATCTTTGTACCACCATCTATCCTTCTCATCATTGAGGGTTTATGACATGATGAGCTCATGTGCCAGTTTTTTTTTAATTACAGACTGATACATTATTATAAGTGTCATTTGATTATTTCGAGAAGGCTGATCTGTGCAAAGTGTGAATGTATGTTATATGTAACTTTTATGTTAATATGTAACTTCTGCCTTGTGCAAAGCAAAAGGTTCAAGCTGTTCCTCATGAATCCTCAAATTGCCTGCGATAAAAAATGCAATAAAATTACAAAACCTGCATCTGAACGCCTTCTTAAAATATTTTGCCTCTGTTGCAAAGGCATTACAGTTTCAAATTGTACCTTCTGCAACATGCTTACCAGAATGTTGTTTGACGATGTAATAAATGTTTCTATTCTTGAGCACTTTGTCTTGCCATGAAAGGTGCTATATAAAATTAAAGAATTGCTCCATCTCTAGCTTTCCAAATACAGCGAAGAGTTTTCAGTGTGATTGTCCTGGACACTTTACATGCAGCAATAAACAAATTCAGATGCTGTGTTAAAGGTTGAACATATTAAAAATGCAATTTAATTTAGTTGATTTAGGTTTAAGCACTTTGGTGTGCATCGCTGTGCAGGAAGAAGCCAGTAAAAGAGAGGCTGAGCTCAAAGAAAGGAGAAGAAAAGCGGAAGAGAAGTTCCAGGAATGGTTAAAAAGTGCGAAGGACAAGCCTCGTCCTGTCTCCAACAGCTTTGCTTACTCCAATGGAAAACTCACAGGTATGGTTTGTGTTGAGCACGTTCCTCCAATGCTTGTATTTGTGAAGGTGGGCTTAATCTAATGAGATAATACTAGATTTGGTTTCAATCACATCTGGGTCTCATTATTGGTTTTTCAGAGGGGGACAAACCCACTTCTGGATTGTGTCAGAAAGCTAATGTAAATAGAGTTACCACTGTAGTCCCTTTTCCTATGCCAAAGGGTCACACAATCTGCTAAATTTACGTTCTTGTTATTTAGCCAGTATAAGATAAAACAGTTGTCACCTACATAACTGCACATCTACTACCGCTAGAAGAAGGGAAATAAAAAACTGTCATTTAATTGCTTCATTGGTATTGCCATGCAGTTGTAATAGTACCTCTTTGTTTTATAGCTGTTTTTTGTACAGTGGTCTGCATGTAATGGGTTCACACTTCACTAGTTCTATCATTGCTTAAAATGTATCGGAAGACCAAACTGAAAGAAAAGGAGAATTAGTAGACACGTGGGAACATTACAGAGTATTTCAGGTCCTATTAATATCCTTCCTACATATTTCATTGAGCCTTCCTACCAGACCTCTGCCCTTGTCAGAAGGCGCCGTCATTCCTGAGTGATAAAGAGCAGGCCTTGCCTTGTGCTGTCTTCACTTCTTCTTATCAGACATACTCCAGATTACTTTGCAAACGTGTTGTCCTGCTGCTGTTAAAATAATAGTTGTCACATTACTCATATATCAGGGATGCAGAAATCTGCTTTTTCTTCACTCACAAGTCAAACAGTCCTGTAACAATGAAAAGCATTTTTGAAATCTGCTCATACACTGATCTGCTGTTTTTTAAACCTTTTCTTTTTTCACACTGTGACTAGTAATGTTAAAACTTGAATACCCTTTCCAGATCAAGAAATTTAGCTTCCCTAAATCATCAAAAATGTTTCCCCCCTAATCTGATGATATTTGATTGGACCACTAGTGAAATGTGAAATGTATTTTGCCTCCTAGTCACAGTTCTACTTTCACTAAAGTAGTTTCATTGCTCTCTACAGGATACTACGATGGCACCTCCTATCCAGCACCAAGCTTCTACAACCCTATTCCCTGGAAGCCTATCCACAATCCCCCACCAGAAGACTCACTGAAGAAAAATTCCATTAGGAAAAACAAGAAGCCCAGCAGTTCTGCACTGTATAGACAGACCCCAGCTGTGAGCTGTAAGCCGAAAGACAGCCTCACTGTGGGGTCATCACAGAAGCACAGGAGGTGACGAGAGAGTGCAGTGTATGGACTACACAGCTGCCTGGGAGGCAGCATCTTAATTGCCCTGTCCCTTTCCTAGAAACTCCTGCTTGCTTTTTTTGGTTCTTTTCTTGAAAAGAAAAAAAATTGGCATTTTGGAAGCAAGACTGGCATTAACATTTCTCATTCATTTTCTTTAAGAAGAAAAACGTTTGTTGAATCGTTTCTGTTACTGAAATTTCTATGGGGAGCACACTGGCTCTTTAAAATGACCAGCTTTTCAGATTTGTAAATAGAGTAAAAATTGGAGTCATTTTTTTTAATTTGCTTAAGAGGTTTCTGAGTTTTATTTATTGTCCTATTTTGAGCCAGTGGCATGTAAGGTTTACTTATGATCTCTCAATACAATCTAGAATATTGTATTTGAGTAATTTTACAGTTCAACTTTATTTTAAAACCAGAAGAATTTGAAATCATGATTATAGTTTGACATTGTTCAATTTCTGAGAACATGCTTAGCTCTCTAGTAGCTGAAGGTATCATGAGTAGTGTTCCTTTCTAAACACTTTTTGTGAAAATTAGTCTGCAGTTCACTAATTCTTTTCTATTCTCATCATAATCCTCCACAAAAAAATCAAATTTTTGCTAATCTTAAAAATTCACTTTATATCAGGAGATTGCATTAATGTAGATGAGAGTGTTAGTGATTCTATATTTCTTTTTTAACTGAAGTACAGATTGGTTTGAAAGGTCTGATACATTTTTTACAGGAACAAGACTAGTGTTCTCAGAGCTAATCTGTGCAATAGCATTCCGTCCTGTTACACTAACATATAGTTGAGAGCATTTTTCTTTTCTGTCAGCTTTAATTAATGTGCAAGACCTGAATTGCATTTTATGGACCATGTTCTGTCATATAGCGAGAATTCTGTTTGGTAATAATAGAGTAGCTAAGTGAAGCACTCGTTATGGGATGGTTGCTGATTGCTATGTGTGGGGATTTGACTTGAAGGCAAATACCTCCTGCCAGTTCACTTAACCTGTTTTTCAGTCCAAGAAGAAACCTCGCAGAAGTCAAAAATGAGACGGTGATGGCAAAGCTGAGTTAAATTTAGGTTGCTGAATATACTTTATGTACCTCATGTGATAATCAAACCATTTCATGTCTATTTTATCTGAGCTTTCCTGTCAGCATTTAACCAAACGCGTGGTCTTGGGTTTTGCCTAAGTGCTTACAATACTGGTTCCTCTAATTGCTAAAGAGCAGTCTTGGTTTCTCTATCCCACACATTCACTTTGAAAATATGCAGAGATGGGAACTGATTCAATATAGTGGTAGGTTGTGTTTAGAATGCTCTTAATTTTATCTCTGCAGTGTAAAGCTTATCTAAATGTATTTTTAGGAACAGTTTTTAATGCACTGTAATGGGTTATTAGGAAAGTGTGTAGTCTGTAGCTGTAGAAGGTGCCTACAGTTACTACGTATTGATCTGAGGTGTTGGCAAATCATGACATCTCACAAACTAACTTATACAGACAAGGCACATTGTTTAGTAGTTCGGTATACAGTTGTGAATGACCTACACTGTGTTTAGCTTGGAGAATGAATGTCTTATGTTTTATAATTGCCAGCAGCGGAGTAATCTTTAATAGGCTTTACTGGTACTGTATATTAATTAGGTGATATGGATGGGATTTTTTGGTAGTGTTTCACCATGCCGTTTTCAGTCTCTAAGATTTCCAGGTGTTAACCTGGTCTTGTGGCTCACAACTGCTGCCACCTGCTGCTTACTATTAGGACTACACCAAATACATAATATGGGTGGTGCTCTTAACATTAAACTAAGAAAAATGTACATGTGTGTCTATGCTGTGCTTGGCTAGCATGTCCTTTTGTACATGGTACTATACATTATTGCATAATTTTCTGTCTCTAAGAAATTGGTTGTATCTAATGTATATGTATATTAAGGAACAAGTAATAGGTATTCTCCATGCTGAAAAGAAGAAAGAAAACAAGTTTTGCCTGTAGAGCCTTCTTCAGGTGTGTACCCACCTGAACTACGTATATTAATGTGATTAGCAATATACTATTTCTGAATTAGGCTTTGGTATTCACATTCAAAGAGACGTTAAGATATTATATGTAAAACTGTTATTGGAATGATGTTTAAACCATACGTATAGCTTTTTTATTTTAACATATGCCTTTTGTGTTTAATAGAAATCTGTTCTTTTAAACTAAAGACTGCAGGTAGGAAAATAGTACCTAAAACATGCCATTTTGAATCAGATTCATGTATTTTCAATGCATTATCTTTAAGAGCTTTGAGCTCTTAAATCCTGACAGAATTCTTCCAGTCACCTGTCTTTTCTGTTTATCGAAGCTGATTTGTTCAATTTATTTTCTTTTAATTAGAACTAATTAGCCCTTGTTCTTTTAAGCAAAGGATGCTTTGATTTACATTTACAAACACGAGTGCCTGAGTAGGTCAAAATTTCTGAGGATACGATTTTAACAGCTTTCTGGTCTACTTTTGAGTCGTGATCAAGTTTATATTACATTCTGCTTCAGCATTGTAGGTACTGTATGCATTATTCTTTCTACATCAAGCTGTACACAGTGCAAGTGTTAATGAGAGGACAAATGCTTTTTTTTCCCCATCTTTTGCATTTGGCATATGCAGAAACTCCCATTGAATTGTGTTTTATTCACACACAATACCATATTTTCCTTGAGTCTGCCAGGCATATAACTAACCACATTTGGTTTACCAGGCCCTTTTCTCTATTTCAGTCACTACAGATTTCAGGGCAATTATGGTTGATTAATCCAGTCACAGATGTGACATTTAAAGGGCTCGTTAAAAGAGGTTTTACTGAAACCATTTCCCAACAAATTTAGGATTTTACAGCTTTATGCCCAAAGGAGATTTTTCCAGAGACATTTTGGTTTCACTAAACAATCTGTGACGTGTTTTCCAATCTAATTGGTATATTGGGAATGGGGCATGTGCGTTTTCTGCCCCAGAGAGCTTATTTTCTGTTTTATAAAAAAAAATCAAGTTTTTTTGTTTTACAAAAAGCACAGCTCGTGGGGTGTAATTAAGCTTTTAAATTCCCTGTCGATTTTTAGAGTGCTTTTATAAAGCTCCATTTTTTCACTGCCTATCTCTAAATAGCAGTGAACCTTAGGAAGGAAAAACTTCCTGTGTTGAAAAACCATTTCAGGTTTTGCTTGGCTCTTATAATCTGTGAGAGACCACTTAAGCATTCTTTTTTTTTCATCACACAGATGTTTTTGCAGAGCTGTCTAAGAATAAACTGAAACACTTTGGGTTTACCATTAGAGACCCAGAGGCCAGTTCTTCATAAATAATTTGCTGATTGTGCATGGATCACTGCTTCAAGTGCATTCCAACAGGATTTCTGTAGAACAGTGTGTACACACAGTTTTGTGACAAAACTCTGATCCAGATGTATGAGTAGCCTTATATTATTTTTTATTCTAGTTTTGGAGCATTGTCTAGTATTCTAGGGCCTTAATTAATATGGCAACATGGGCTATAATCTATTTCAGACAGATCTGTACACAGCCAAAATTGTTTTGCTACAAGCCAGAAGCTGAGCTTCCTGCCAGATAGTTGCCTTGTTTCTCTAGGAATTGGTCTGTAGGTTTGAATCTTCTTCAAGTACTTGGGACTGGGATGGTCTTGGTTAACGCCTTGTTCAGTCATACTTAAAACATAGAATTCTTGAAGCATCTCTTCTGTTTTGAAAATGAAACAAAGACTGTGTAACATGTATTCCGGCCTATATAATCTTTAATTGAGTCATCAAACCTAACATGGTTCTGGAAAATGTAATTTATGGTTACATAAAATATCTATTAAGGGAAGAGTAAGAAAAGATACTTTTAAATTGATTTATCCTGGAAGCTGGGAGCAAAAACAGTAGCATATTTTTTACAAATGCATGTAGGAGTAAACTGTATATTTCTTTGACCTAGATCAGAACTGCTTTTGCTCTTTAAATTGAACTATGTAATACCTAGAATCGGTTGAAGTCAAACTGTAAATCATTAAAAATGTTATAATTGAGCAGTATGCTGGAGCTGAATGGTGTGTGCTAAGGGAATCAGCCAAGACAACAATGGGTAAGTCATACGAATTTATCAGGAAATAAGCAAGTTGGTAGCTTGTAGGTTTAGTCTTTGTTTTAGTATCATACAATATTCCTTTTCTGACCGCTAATAATGTCTATAGTATCACCTGTATATGCCTTTTGCATATATATTGTTCCTGTTTTTATGTGCTGACCAAGCTGTGTACTAAATTGAAACATGTTTCAACACATAGAGCGTTAATTATACCTAGGTAATACCAGAATGTCTGATTATGGACTTTTGTGCCAAAAGCTCGACCAGCAAGCTTCATGGATTTTTGAGGCTAGAACTCCACGTGCTGTGAAGCAGAAATGTGGACACGCGTGCAACAGTCGGAACGGTTTGTAGAAGAGAGCTGTTTTTTTTGTTTTTTTTTAGATGAAATAGATATGAAATACTGCGGTCAATCTAGAAAATTAGAGGCCTGGGAGCTATGCACCATGGGCACCAGCAGGAAGGCATTTGTCCAGTGACTGTTTGCATCCATTTTGCTTTTTAGTTTTGTTTTGCTAGCGAGGGCATATTTGTAGCTGATGCCTGTTCCCTCCCCCTCACTCCAACCCTGACCCATTGAGGTGTTTATGGAATCACTGAAGGCCTTGCTTGCCACACTGCCACTCCCATTGCAGATGTCAGCAGCTGTCAGTATCTGTCACCAAGAGGTCTTCTCCGGAGGTGCTGCCCCAGGGGCAGTGCAGTGGGATGGCCAACAGACCTCTGACATGAGGTGTCACGGAGGTCTTTTACCTTTGATCTGAAGCAGTCAAGGACGGACTCAAATTCACTTCAACACCATCCCACCCTGCATTTCTGCCTGGGTCCTCCATTGTTGTAGATCTTGGACAAACCGCGCTAAGTGTTTGGCTAGTCGCGGTCTTCTGCTTCGTCTTGTAGAATCTGTTGGGAGAATGCTAAGTGTATCAATTCTGGAGTCACCAAGGTGTTTTGATGTCATCATCACCTGGCTGTCACACCTGCTGCTGTTTAAATGAGGCCTGTCGTCATTTATCTTTCTTCCCGCAAGATGGCCAGCCCAGAACTACTCCAGATTCGTCACGTGGCGTCTTAAACCCTGAATCGTTGGTCTTGCTTTTCAGCGCAAATTAATTCTAAAAGCTTAGGACAAGCCCTTGCATTTGTGGATTTGGGATTTGATCAGGTTTTTTT